TAAATGCTCAGTTCAAGGATAAGATATCCAAGAAGTTACTGTGCGGTAGAAAGATGCAGTGTATTTTTCTCATATTCGTCATGTGTTGCTAACGGGTGAAATGCACGCTTCAGTGAAACAACATTGGGGGAGAATATGTTCAGTCGTGAAGCTTTTGAAGCTGTAAAAATCGGAAATTTTCCGTCATTCTGTTAGAATCAAAACTGGTCCAATGAAAAACAAATCAACCCTCTTGTTATTCTCCCCGCGATCCTTATGTGTGTGCAAGAGAAAGTCAAGAGCATATGAAATTCTAAATTATAGAGTACTGCCGTTGTGACGGACATAGTAGGTAAATAAATAATTTTCTATCACGAATTCCTCAGTCACAGTAACATTTTGGACATCTTATGTTATGTATTTCACCCGATCTCTTTATAAGATGTAATTAATTTTTGGTGAAGCTGTTGAAGAGATTAAAAGTCTATTGGGTTAGTTGACATTTTTCACGATTTTTAACAGCGGTCATTTCGGTCTCCTGCTGGATGGCGACCTGAACAAAGGCAGGACGGACGAATGTATGACGTTCCGTAATAGCATCTTATCATCCGACAATGATTTCGTCATTCGCACGGTCGAGTGTTGGTCATTTGATTGAAGGCCTTATACTAAATGCATCGGATCCTTTGTATGCCTTGATCTGTCGCTTTTAGTTCCGTCTTCCTGATACGTGTAAAAAAAGGGAAAGTTACGATTGCCGAGCTCATTTTTGAGCTCTTGGGATGTCTGTGATCGTGGGAACGCGGCTAATCCCCCGAAAGCGAACTCTGTTCATGCCATCGTTTGTAGCATTCAAAAGAATGACAGTGTTTAAAGTTTCATTTTCACCTCACTCGAGTGATCATCTTTTTGACTGCTTAGGTTTCACAGATGAATTAAGTCCATTGTGTTCTATAGTTCCAGGATTCCTGGGAAAGGTCTAGAAAGTATCCCTTCTAATTTTCTCTGATTGATATCCTTAATTCTCACTGGAACAGGGTCGACATTTGTTCAAAGTTTTTAAAGAAACACTGTTAAGTTGATGATGAACTCACGTCTGTAAATTCCCGTGGTTGTCTTGCACGTGTTATTTTCATCGTTCGAGATAGCCTTATAGTATGGTGTGTATCAAATCCAAAAGAAAAATAAAACTGGTGCAAGATCTAGAAATGAATGTTCGTTATCTAGTCCGGGGCATTGATAATTTAGGAGGTGGGGGTGTTTCCCCGAGATCGTAGTTGCGTTTTGCTGGATGGCTGTTACGAATTTACAATAGGAGTGCAACTTGAGTAGAAAATTGGAAGATGATTTTGGCTGTTCGTGGGGAAAAAAAGATATATTTAAATGCGTTACGGCAAAGGCTTCCTGTCTCGATGGGGCATGTTTTTACGTCGTGAGTTGCTTCCAATGGATCGCTTTGGCCTTGAGATTTTACGCCAGGGTTCGTGATTTTTTGATCTGACTGTTGACCGGTTGATGTTTCTGACGGACTCGCGATTCAAAAATTTTTTCGTGTATTTTTTAGAATTCAGTTGTACGAAACTTGATGGAGGGAAACTAGAATTTTTGATTCGATTTGCGTTATATTTAACGTACTGCACACTCTTCGCAGTTTACCTCTGCTATTCTTTATTTTCAGATTTTTGAATGATGTTCGTTTTGATGCTGCGAGTAAGGTTAAAATTCAAATCGGTGAAGATTTCAGTTTTCTTTTCATGAACTCATTTTCTGTTTTCGGAGTGTTGTTCTTGATCGTATCGTCTTGGTCTTGAGCAACGGATCAGTAAAAGCTATACGCATATCGGCTTTTCCCAGTCATGTATGTGCTGAGCTTCGCAAAGATTTCACGCGGGAAAAAATTGACGGAAAACTGACGAAAAATGAAGATCGCTCGGAAGCCATAATTATAAAGAAATATAGACGAGGTTGGCCATGGCTGCTTTCTTTTGGTTGTAGTGTGGATAAAAAGCTCACCCATGTGTTCTTTCGAATTTGATGTGCAATCGCGATGATTAGCTGGAACCGGCCGCCCAAATTGTCATTCCTATCCTTTTTAATTTCGTTTCGACCATTCCGAGAATGTAGTGCATTCCGTAATTGTCAAATTTCAGCCAAAGACGTCATGAGAATTTTAGTCGCCGAGTCACAAATTTTGTGTTGAATTCGTGACGTGGGTATTGAATCGCTGACGAGGAGGAACGCTCGACAACGTGTGTGACAAGTGCGGTGGACTTTTTTTGTAATCGGATTTTGTTCTATCGTAACGACCTCTTTTTTTTCTGTGTAGTTGATGAGTTATTCTTTCTCGATATTGCTGCAGTGAAAAAGGGAAACTGCGATGAAGAGCTTCAAAGGGAGAAATTTTAGTCTGACCTTGAAATTCAGTGATCGCCTTGTTGAATCCCGAATTTTTCAGCGTTATGTTTTTTTTTCAACTCTTTCAGGTTGTGACTGGAAGCATCAGTGATTTTAAAGTTGGTCTCCGATGGATTCTCTGTGTCCGGATACTTCCAGTAGTAGTATTATTTGAAAATATTGTACTGGTGCAATACGCGATAATATAAATTATGTCGGCCTTGAATGTCGCCGCGCAATTCAGTGACGATGAATGTTCTGCGGACGAAGACAAGGCGGATTCAGTTGATGATGAATCTTGTCCGGATAAAGGTCCTTGGACAGGTCAGTCACCACCTTCACCTCGCATGGCCTGAGGTTTAAAATATTCAGTAAATTCAGATGATATTAACGATGAACAGTTTGAAGATTGTTATGGACTTTTCTTCAAGGAGTCCATGTTGTGCGACTGAACTGGAAGATTTTTTCCTTCGCTTTTGTGTAATTTTTGCGTATGTTTTCTAGCTAGAGCCACCTTTATTTTGCTGGGATCATTGGGATTTTTCAACGTATACGCCATGCGCGTAAACCTCAGTATCGCGATCATGTCGATGGTCAAAAGTGGCGGCAGCAGTGGGAATTTCACGCCAGTTTGTGGACACCGTAGTAAGGCCAGCGCATTTGTTTCGATGGTGCGTAGTTTTCCAAAATTTTGAATCGTTTTGTGTCCTAGAATCGCATTACGCCGCCATTTACTGATGGTTTACTCTGCTAGAATCTAAAACATCTATTGCTATTCGCTATATATTTTTCCTGATGTTCTGCGAATCGTCAAATTAAACGAATGTACTGTATAAGCTCGTAATCTTTTGAGGTTTGCATTCTTCTTTAAATGCTTCGTAGAAAAATCCGTTATTCCATAAATTCGTAACAAGCTTATTCGTCGTTTCTTTGAAATGGATAAGTATCCTCAGTTTTCCAAAAAGTGACATCCCAAAACAATTGATTGTCCTCAAATTTGTTGCGTCTGGAATTCAAGCTTTAAAATTTTAAATCTAATTACCTCTTACTGTACTGTAATTTATTCTTGCATTTTAAGCGCAGTGGAATATCTCTTAGTCCCTGATGAAGTTTTCTGTTTATCCCATGAATAGGAAAGTGATGGAGAATTCGATTGGGATGAAGCTACGCAAGGATTGGTCTTGGGCTCTTTCTTCTGGGGTTACATAATTACTCAAATTC